AACCCAAGGTCTTTCCCTTTGCTCTGCTCTTCTCCAGGATCACATCAAATAATTTTTGAAAAGGCAAAGAGTTTGGCCAGCATGAAGCCTTTGCTGAGAAAACAGAATCCAGCAGAGCTAAGCACATGGGATTCCATGGAGTGAACTGGTGTGCACTGGTGTCAGCAGCCATCCCGCAGCATGGAATTTCATTGTCCAGAAGGAATGTCTCACTTGGCTCCTACCCTCACAGAGCCACTGTGATTAGGTCTCATTAGAAAGATTATTAACAGTCTCCAAGGACACTTTCAAAACACTGGGAAGTCTCTGCTAATTGAAACTAAATGACAGCTGTCCAACTGCATTTTCCCCTGCTTTATCCCCGGGACAGGATTAGGTTTCTTTGTTCACTGCAGAATGTTTCAATATCAGTTATTTGCAGCAAGGTCTCTGCCCTGTGGCACCTGCCTGGGGGGGACAGAACTCTGGTGTTCCTGCAGCCCATTCCCAACATTCCAGCTGGCTCCAGGCCCAGCTCCCAGATGGGGCAGACTGAGAGAGGGGAAGGATTCCCTGTGCTCAGGCCAGAGCAAGGAGCTGAATTTGGGAGTTTCTGCCTGAGAAGCAGCAAAAACACCTACCCCAGGTGCCAACAGCATTGTCCACGCCCGACGGATTGCCATGGATCACCTGCTCCCCTCGGAAGGCCCAGCTGTTAATCAGGGTCAGCTCTTCTTCTGTCCACCTGGAAGGCAAGGAAATAACTCCAACCAAACCACTCCAAACCAGTGGAGAGGGAGGGATCACGTTCAGGGGGAAGATCCCAGCTTTGGCCTGGTGTAGATCAGATTTAGTCTGGAATTCAGTCTGGAATTCAAGTCCAGACTCATCCCCACCTCACCAAACAGGGAGTGTTAGCACACACACTGGAAAGGCTGAGGGAGCTGGGCTTGTTCAGGAGAGGAGAAGCTTTGGGGTCACCTCATTTCAGTGCCTGAAGGAGCTACAAGAAAGATGGACAGAGACTATTCACAAGGGCCTGGAATGACAGGACAAGGGGCTTTAAGTTGACAGAGATTGACAGGTTTAGATTGGATACCAGGAAAAAATTCTTCCCTGTGAGGGTGGTGAGGCCCTGGTGGGCAGGGACACCTTTCACTGTCCCAGGTTGCTCCAAGCCCCATCCAGCCTGGCCTTGGGCACTTCCAGGGATGGAGCAGCCACAGCTTCTCTGGGCAGCCTGTGCCAGAGCCTCATCATCCTCACAGGGAGGAATTCCCAGTATCCCATCTAATCCTGCTCTCAGTCTGAGCACAAAACCTCTGACCCTCCCTGCACACCACAAGTCCATTCAACAGGTATTCCATGCTGGGGCAGAGGCCCAAATCCAGATTTTGGGAAAGCCTCACAGCGTCTTACAAGGCAAGGCAGAAATTCCAAGAGCCACCTGCTATCCAGAAACTCTTCCCCTTCATTCCTGCTTCCCTGGGCCTTGGCTGAATGTCCTTATCCATGTCCACACACCTTGCATTCCACCTGCCAGGATTTAATCTGGGAGCACTCAGCAAACAGCTCACAGCAGCAGCCTCAGGAACAGGAGTAAACCACTTGTTCCTAATCCTCTTTGAGAGGCTGCAATTCCTCCCGACACAGGAGCCTTTCTATCCTGCTGTTCTTTTCTTGCCATGGGAAGCAAAACCCTTCTGAAGCCTGACACCCCCAGCTCTCTGCACAGCAGCTGGAAGGCAGGAATTATGCTGGATCCATGCTGAAGCCACGGAGGGTGAGCAGGGAATGAAGACATCCTTGCTGTAACACTTGGAGCTGCCTTTTTATTTCCCAAATTTGGGAGATTTGCTCAAGTGCTCCCAACAAGAACCTGTTTCTGGGTCAGAACACAGAACCACCCTCCTTGCTGTCTCACTCTCAGCCCCACACAACAGAGGTTCTGCCCCTCCAGCTTTGATTTTGAACAGCTTCAAACAGAGCTCCCTCTCACAGGGGCACAGCACTCCAGGCTTCCAAAGGGGAGCTCCAAGGGCAGAAGGAAAGAAACTCTCTTTCATCAGGTACTGATAAATGGGAAAGACAGGCAGGAGATCAGGGGGAAATGTAGCACATGCAGAAAAGAATTCATGGGAAATGCGAAAGAAACCCCGAAAGGATCCTCGAGGCCTCAAAGCAAAACCTGGAAGACGCTCAGAGCCAGAGGAAACTGAGGTTGAAAAATTTCAGTGTGTTTTATTTGATTGAAAAAATAAGGCTTTTTTTCCCCTTTTTAGGTATGTTTTTCTGACCCTAAACAAGGGAAGCAGGGGGAGTTTTACAAAGTCTGGGACAGGGCTGGGAACACTGGGTATGGACAGGAGATGGGCTCTGGGTGTCATTTGTGGTGACAGCCAAGACAGACCAGCAGAAGTGGCAGTGCCAGAACTCGTGCAGGCAAAAGGAAAGGTGGGGCACAGAGCTGTGCATGCCAGGCTGGAATTCCTTACCTGGCTGTGGATTCTCCCTCCTGCAGCGGGCAGGAGATGGCTCCACACAGCATGAGCAGGGCTGCAGCCAGGCACACAGCATAGGCAGCACTGGATCCCAGCCCTGCTCCCGTGGGCAGCTCCGAGCACACCACGATATCCACGCTGGGAACATCCCTGGGAAACAGACACACACACAGGGACTGGCACAAGAACCCTGAATTTCACCCCCAGACAACATCAAATACGCAAAGAAGCCAGTTAGGACTGATCACAGGGAAAGGTGGGTGAGAACTGGCAAATTAGCACATGCATCTGACACACTGGGGCTGCAGGAGGGCTCATTCCTGAATGGAGCAGCCTGGGCAAGCACTTGTGATGAAATAAAGCCCTCCTGAGCTGGATCCGTGATTGGCACAGCTTGTCAGGCTGCTAGAAGGGGCTCTTGGTAAGTAAACTTTCAGAGGTTGTTGTAAACATATTTCTGAATAAAATGTAAATATCCCAAATCTGTAATTGCACAGCCACATCCCACTGGAGCAAGAGGCTGGTGGGGAAGATGGAACATGGATATATCCACACGTCCCTTTGTCCCACCTAGGTTGTGTTACTGACCCCAAAATCAAGCCCAGGAGCTTTTCGGGGCTGCTGAATGACAGCCCCAGTGCCACCCTGAGACTGCAGGGAAACCACAACCAGCTGAACATCTCAGCTCTTTATCCTTGGATTTTTTGGATGAGAAGATGGAAGTTGGGCTCTGCTTTGGTTTCTGGCACTGCCCTGAGCACCCATCCAGTCACACACTGATCACTGATGGTGCTGGGCAAGGCTGGGAACTGGAACAGCCCCAAGTTCTCAGTTTTAGGCAGATTCAGCCCATAAAGAGATCAGACTTAGTTCACATAATAAATTCAAAGTTTATTTCTGTTTTTCCAGCCTAAGCCAGGATGACAGGAGCTGCCTGCTGTGGGGAGGGGTGTGTGTGTTGTGACTGTGGCATGAACTGCTCTGGTTTCAGCCCTCAAAACTAAGTGAGAGCAGAGACTCCCAGCTCACCTGCCTGAAGCACCCACCCAGCACCAAAATTTTGGGGCAGGAGCAGAGCCTTACCCATACTTAGCAGAAATAGCCAGGCACATATACAGGAAGGCAAGAGTGGCGAGACTGTCTGGAGCTGAGGCCCCAGCAGCAATTCCAGCAAACTCCCTCAGTGCATCCAGCTGTTCTACACTGGGAGACTTGGACTCATCACCATCAGCTATGGAAGCAAGCAGGGGAGAGTTTAAACACTTAAAAACCAGGGAATTGCTACACTGAGAGCAGTATTTCCAACAAAACCTTCTGTTACAGCAAGCAGAAACAGCTGGGGCCAATTTCAGGTTCTACCTGAGGATCTATGATGAAATAAAAGCAAAATCTCCACCAGGCACTCTGAAATCCAAAGGTTTCCATACTCCATATTTCCAAATGTTTCCCTGCCTACACCTGCCATTGCATCCATCCACAATCACTATGGAAAACATGGCAAGTCACAAACTCTTCATTAAAGGACGTGGATTTTGGAACTGGGTTATCCTGGGGCTCCAGCCAGTGCAAGGTGCTGCAGAAATTTATTGTGAGGGCTGGTGTGGGACAGACAAGCAGGAAAAAAGACCCAGGCTAGCTGGAGCCACAACAGCACCAGAACAAATCCCTGGAACCCAAACCAGGAGGGGACAGGGACACGCACGGACACCTGAGCATCAGCGGGGCCACAAAGGGAATGTAAATAACTGAGAGGGGCAGGGACAGGTCAGTGAGCAGGGTTAGAGACAGCGAGACCCCAAAACACTGCAGGGAGGACAAATAACCCCACGGGGGTCCCTGCAGAGCCACCCCATGGAGGGGGTCCCAGCACGGTCACCGAGGTGTGGCAGGCACCGAACGGTACCGAGAGCCCCTCACTGCCCCTGGGGCAGCTCCTCCTTCCTTCCCCCGGCCCTTGCCTGCGATCCGCTCCCGCAGGGCCCGGAGGTCGGGGGTGTCCCAGCTCCTCCGGACACCAACGCCGGGCAAGGAGACGCTCAGCCGGCCCTCAGCGCCGGGCCGCAGGCGGAGAAACGTCCGCAGGTCCAGCGCCACGGCCAGGGCCACCTGCGGGCGGAGAGCGGGGGTCAGCGGGGCCGGGCAGCCCTTACCGGGCCGGGCAGCCCCGGTTTCCCCGCCGTGCCCTCACCTTGCCCAGCACCACGGCGTGCTCCCCGTGCAGGATCACCTTCCCCGGCGCCGACACCACCAGCTCCCGCGTCCACATCGCCGCACGGCCGACGGTGACTGACAGCCCCACACACCAATCGGGGCGGCGCCCTGCCCCGCCTCCCTGCGCTCAGCCAATAGCCGGGCGTCGTGCGAGGGCGGGACTTTGCGGACGGCCAATGGGAAGGGGGCATTGCGGGGTGGCGCGGCGCTGGGGTGACAGCGTGGGCTGGGGGCGGGACGGCGGCGGGGACGGCGGCCGGCAGGGATGTGGCGGCGAGCGGCGGTGGCGGCGGGACGGGGCCTGCCGGGGATGGCGGGGCGACGGTGGCGGAGCGGAGCGGGCAGGTGAGCGTGGGAGGGCCGGGACCCCCTCACGGTGTCGTTGAGTCCCTCACGGTGTGTACCCCCCGGACGGTGTCCCCTCACGGTTTGTGCCTCCATAGCCCCGAGCGCGCCGCTGCCGAGCGGGCCCCGAGGATCTACACGAGGACGGGAGACTCAGGTAGAGCCCGGGGGGCCCCGGGGGCCGCGGGCAGAGCTCCCCAGGCGGGCCCTGAGCGCCTCCCGCCCTTCCCAAAGGATTCTCCAGCACCTTCACCGGGGAGCGGCGGCCCAAGGGCGACCGGATCTTCGAGGCCCTCGGAGCCACGGATGAGCTGAGCTCGGCCATAGGGTAAGGACCGGCTGGGAGTATCCAAATCATATAGAAAAGTATGTTTGTTATGATTTCTTTATTCCCAGCTAATTCTGTTTTGCTTTTTTCGCTCTACCCAAGGCTGGCCGGTGAGTTTAGCAGTGAAAAGGGTCACACGTTTGTTGATCAACTTCATAAAGTGAGTATTAATGATAATCTTCATTCCCATTGTGCTATTAAAACATGGACTCCTTAATTTTAGCCACAGTGCTCCCACTGACACACAGGAATTCAATACACTTAGTATTTCAATGTATAAATCTTTAAGACTCCCTTGATTGCTCTCTAAGAGGCAAATTTCTTTAACCAAGAAGGAAGTTGGTAGATGAAATTATAAGTTATGGGCAGACAGATTCATCTCTAGGTTTATTCTAAGTTAGATCCACATATGAACATGAGTTTTGTTGTAACAGAGCTCCGGGTTTGAAACTGGGACACAACCAACCACAAGGGCACAGCAGTGACCCAGGTCCTGCCTGGGCAGCCTGTGAGTTTGGCTGATCAGCTCTGCTGAGCACTGGAATGCAAAAAGCCATGGCTGGCAGTGACAGCAGTGTGGTTTCTGTCCAGGTGCAGTGCATGCTGCAGGATGTGGGCTCCAACATTGCCACGCCACTCTCCTCAGCCAGGGAGGCTCACCTCAGTAAGTCCTGCCTTTTTTGGGGTGGCAGGGCTTGGGCACAGCCTGGTGTGGGTGCTGGCATGCTGAGTGTTTGGTTTCTTAGGGCTTGCTGATCCAAGATAGCAAAATGAGAGCTCAGCTTGTTGTCTGAATCACTTTTCTCCAGCTGATTCTTCTCCCCTCTGTAGAACGAACATCATTCAGCGAGAAGCCCATCCTGGAGCTGGAGCAGTGGATTGACAGCTACTCAGAGCAGCTGCCTCCCCTCAGAGCCTTCATCCTGCCTGTAGGTGCTGCCTGTGCCCCTCATTTCCTTGGGGTGGCCCTGCTGCTCTGCTTACCATGGGAGGACAGCCTGGGAGGATGCTATTCCCATGGGCAAACACCAAGGGAGAAGCAGAGCCAAGGAGCTGGGAGTTACATCTGCCCACCCTGCTGTCCCTGCCTTGCCTGGTGTGGCACAGGGCTCAGTTCCATGTGTGAGGGAGGGCAGGGGGGGCTGTCCCTGTCCCTGCCTTGCCTGGTGTGGCACAGGGCTCAGTTCCGTGTGTGAGGGAGGGCAGGGGGGCTGGCCCTGCTGGGGCAGACCCTCAGGGGTGTTCCCTTGCTGTTCCAGTCTGGAGGCAGGAGCAGTGCTGCTCTCCACCTGTCCCGAGCCGTGTGCCGCAGGGCTGAGCGGTGGTGAGTGCTGGGCTGGGGTCACCCTGAGGAAATGGGCATGGGGACACCACAGTGACAGCAAACCAGGGCTGGGCTGGGGCTCCAGCCAGGCTTTTGTGTGTTTAGCCCAATTCCAGGAGTGCAGGAGGCACAAAGCCAGGCTCTGTTCTTCCTTATCCAACCTTAACCTTTGGGGATTCTGCAGCCTCATCCAACCTGACCTTGGATGTTTCTGGGGATGGGGCAGCCAGAGCTTCTCTGGCCAGGGAAGAATTTTTTCCAGTATCCCATCTAACCCTGCCTCTGACAGTGGGAAGCCATTCCCTGTGTCCTGTCACTCCAGTCCCTTGTAAATAGTCTCTGTTCAGTGATTCCCATGGATGGGAGGAGCAGAGCAGGGGGTTTCCAGGACAAACACAAACATTTCTGGCATCATTCACCCCTCCCAGATCCCCCTGGGAAGCAAAAATCCTTCACTTCTGCAGGAGTCAAGGTGGGGACCCCATGGTGACATTTGGGGTGGGAAGGTGCTCCAGTTTTTGTGCACTCAGAGCTGGAAGATCAAACACCAGCATTTCCCTTTGCTTTTTCCAGTGTGGTCCCTTTAGTCCAAGCAGGGGAAGCAGATCCAAACGTGGCCAAGTATTTAAACAGGTAAAAAAATAAAATCCCAAACAATTCCCCTGTCCTACTGAAGCATTCCCTTAATTCTGGGAATAAAACTGGGGGGTTTGCTTCTCAACAAGCTTCTCTTCTGGAATAAGATCACTGATTTTCCTGCTTCTCCCTTGCTTTCCAGGCTCAGTGATTATCTCTTTGTCCTGGCACGTTATGCTGCAATGAAGGAAGGGAAGGAAGAGAAAATCTACATAAAACCTGAGCCCTAGCTGGGAGCTGGAATGTTTTTTATCTTGATCATGGAAAACTAAATCCAGCTGACTGCTTTTGTCCATCAAGGAAGGGAGGGAGAACAAGCCTGGACTGGAAATGGGAGCTGCCAAGGATTTCCATGTGAAATAACCAGGACCTTGTTGATAAATCCTGAGAGGAACAGAATCACAGAATATCCTGAGTTGGAAGGGACCCAAACACACCTGTCCTGTTCCCTGGGCCTGGCCCACACATCCCATGTGGGGATGGCTCTGGAGCCACTGCTTCTCCCAGCTGGGAGTTGAGGCAGGAGAATTCCATAACACTTTGGAGATCCTTCATTTCCCTGGGCAGCAGCAGGTGCTGCGGGAAGGCTCTGACAGGACTCTGAGGAATGATGAAGGGAAAACAATCAGGAAAACCATCAGCTCCTCCTCTGAAGTCACAGTGCTCGTATGGAGCAGCAGCTGGAGGCCTTTGGGAATTGTGTCCATGGCTCTGAAATAAAAAATGTGAATTTCCTTGTACCAAAGGGCCACAAACTGTCACGTTTTAACAGCGAGCCCTGTGAGCTTTGCTGCTCCAAGTCCCTTCCAATCCATCAGCTCTGGCTGGAGCTGAGCTGCACAGATTTACAGGAATGCACCAAGAATTCCTTGGCTTTGCTGCCTCTCATTGTGCATGTGAGGAATTCTCTGAGCTGACAATCCAGGGCATCCTCTGCCAGGCACAGCATGGAGGGGGTGAAGCAGGAAAGGCCAAATCCCAGGGTCTGTGTGCTGGGGGTGTCTCCACGGGGAGCTGTCCCTTGGAATGGTGGGACCAGCTGCAGGAGCAGCTGGGGGAGCAGAGCCCAGGGTTTGGGAGCACTGAGGGTGCAGGAAAAGGGGGTTGGGGTGAGGAGCAGCACCCCAAGGGCTCCTGGAATGTTTCTCCATGGAACCCTTGGCAGAGCAGGCTGGAGAGAGCTCACAGCCACATCACACACACAATTCCAGCTTTGCACTCATGTCCAAGCTGCTTCCAGCTTGGAAATACAACTGGGAAGAACCCATGTGAACCCTGCTGGTGTAATTTTCCCCCCCTGGGAATTCTGTGGGCTGCAAGGTGGTGATGCTCACCTAGAGCTTGTCCTGCTTTTAGTGGGGCAGCTTTTAAATCCATCCTGCCCCTTTTCCCATTCAATTATTTGAGTAGAAGCAACCTTAAACTTGTTCTCCAAGGAATCTCTGGCTCTGTGTCCCTTTTTGGGCAGTGAGGGATGCCCAGGAATGAGTGAGGAGTGCCCAGCACTAACAGATCCCCCGTCTCATCACTCACCTGGGTTTGAGGCAGATATTTCATGGCTCTTGTTAATGCACATTTTTCATGGAGTAATTTTCCAAGCCTCAGCCTGGAACACATCCCAGTGACAAATGCTCTGGATTTGGATGGTCCCATCAGCTGCAGTGTCACCTCAGCCATTCCCTCTGCCTGCTCCTGCCAGTTTTATGAGAGCTCTGGCTCTGGGACTGAACCTCAGGAATCAAGAGGCTTTTCAAGTTTAATTTAATAAAATCCTTTGCAATATAAATTCTTCATGAACGCTCCATAAATCAGCTTGGGGAGGGATTTATAGTATTTCCTTTTTTTTTTTTCTTTCCAGCTGGGGGGGAGAAATCTCACTACTGTTTTGGGACCAAAGCTGGCATTGTTTGGATTGCAAGGAGAAATAAATCAAGCTGCTACACTTAAAATGATGGAGAGATTAAATTTACTGGGGTGCTCCCAGCTGCCCTCTCCCTCTCTACCCACTGCAGTTGTTTCTGGAGGGCTGAGGCAGAGGGAGCTGCTGGGGTGACCCTCATGTGTCACAGGGCTTGGCTTTAGGAGGGAGCTGAGACAAGGCTGCAGCTCAGCAGGGCTGGGACATTCTGCTCTGAGAGTTGTCCCCAAGGCCACAGGACAGCCACGGGCTCTTGAGATGGGGGTGGCTCAGATGGGACATTGTGGCTCTGCACAGCTCCTGACAGGAGGGGACAGGGAACAGGGACAGGAGAGAGGACACTGCATCAAACTGTGCCAGGGGAGGGTGAGGTTGGACAGCAGGAGGAATTTCCTCATGGAAAGGGTGCTCAGGGACTGGAAGGGGCTGCCCAGGGAGGTTTGGAGTCCCCATCCCCGGAGGAATTCCTGGACGTGGCACTCAGTGCTCTGGGCTGGTGGCAAGCTTGGGCTTGATGATCTTGGAGGGCTTTTCCAACCTGGATGATCCTGGAATTCTGTGATCCCTCAGGTGCACCCTCCTCACCAGGCTGGAGCAGAGGCACAGAGCAGCTGAGCTGCCTCTGCTCCTGACCCCACAAGGTCAGCCAGGCAGCAGCAGAGTGACCAAAACAAAACCCAGCCTCTAAATCCAAATAAACCTCCCTAGCTCTGGGCTGGCTGTTGTTTTTCCAAGCTCTTTGTCTCTTCCCAGCCCTCCCAGCCATACAGCATAGGGATTCCAGTGCCTGCACCTCATTAATATCACGGGGAAAGGCAGATGCTTTGTCCGGGCTGCCCAGCTCCAGCGCCCAGCAACATTCCTGCCTCGCAGGGTGCCTGATCTGGGACTGCTCTGGAGCTGCCAGCACAGCCATATGTTGCTAAGGGTCGTTTATTCTTGTTTGTAAAATGTATGGCTGCTCCCAGCTCCCACACTGTCAAAACGAGAAGAACTGGCCCCAAAATCTCTTGCTGCATGATTGGATCAGACGCCCGTACATCTGTTAGCGCTGCAGGAGCTGTAAAATGGAATAAGTTGGGCTATAACTCAAGCACCTCGATTACCACCACGATGTGGGAGCAGCACAACGGCTGCTGCTCCGCCAGCAACGCCACAAACATCCATTGTGCCAAGTCAGATGTGGATTTACACAAGGCAGCATTTCCTGGGCCAGGGCTCACGAGGGAGGAGAGGGATGAGAGCTCCCACCTTGTCAGGGTGTGCTGGAGCCCCAGCCTGGTGAGTTTTGGGGTGCACAGCCCTGGAAGTGGGGAGACAACAGCTCCCCTGGAGCTGCAGGAGCAGAGAGAACCACAGGGCAAGTCCTGTGGGCTCACAAGCTCCTGAAATCTCCTTTTAGCCTGGAAATGGGCAAGGAAAATCCCTCCCTGGAGCAGCCCAGGGCAGGAACCATCAGCTCTGTGCCTGACAGGAGCAGGCTGAGCCTATCTGTGGAGGAAGGGGTGTCTGGTACCCTCAGTTCCTCTTGTACTGCTGCCTGGCACAAAGTGCCCACCCCAGTGCCCCATCCCTGCCTTGGCAGGGCAGGCACAGAGGGGCAGAGCAACACAGGGAGGGCTCAAACCACCCCAAGGAAACTGGAGAGGGTCAGGATTGAAGAACTTGACCTCAGAAACAGCCACAAAAGCAGCTTGTGAGCACCAGTTCAGTGCCACTTACCCAGGTGGTGACAGTGCCAAGTGCCATGTGGTGTGACCAGTGCAGCACCTGCTGCAGGAGCTGCTGCACCTCTTGGTAAATGGGAGCAAACACAAAAATGAGCTACAGAGACATCAGGGATGTGGAGACCAGAGCTCAGCACAGCTCCCTCTCCATCCTAACCTGGAATCCAGCATGGGGCACAGGTGCAGAACAGAGGGATCAAACAGAGGGAACACCAGCCTGGGTGTGAGCCAGGGGATGGGGACAGCCTGTAGGAGCAGGAGAGGGACAGCAGGAGCTGCTGTTTGCTCCTGAACACCCCGTGCCTGCAGCAGGCTGGGACACCAAACTCTGCCCTGTGCCAGCATTGAGCGAGCACCAGGCTCCAGGGATCCCTCCCATCCTCTGGGGATCCCTCCCACCCTCCAGGGATCCCTCCCAGCTCCTCACCCCACAGTTCCCAGGTTTATGGGGTGGCCACAGCCCCATCTCCCCTCGGTGGCCCCGAGCAATGCGTGCCCAGGTCCCGGCCGATGCCAGGGAAGCTGGGGCTGTGTAGGCCTGGCTGCTGCCAGCTCTGCCTTGGCAGCAGCTGCTCTGGGCTTGCTTTTTGCTGTTCCTGACAGTGCCAGATGCCTCTGTGTCAAAACAATGGCACTTGCACACTGACTGGGAGCCTCTCCCTCGCTCCCACCCTGCTCCCGCTCCCAGCAGAGCCAGGGAGGGCTGGGAATGGCCAGGGGGGCAGGAGGGCTCCAGGCAGGGATGGAGGGGCACTGAAGGGCTCCAACCCAAAGTCAGAGGGAAGCTGGAGCAGCAGGCACAGCTCTCACTTCTCCAAGAAGCTTCCAGCATCAGGCTCAGGCAGAAACAATATAATGATATTGTTATTAATATCAAAACCCATGTCAGCTCCAGTGGCTGCTCCTCAGGGCTCTCCCACTCCTGCACTGGGATCCCAGCCTGCTCCAAGCTCTGTCCAGCCTGGCCTTGGACACTTCAGGCATGCAGGGGTCCACAGCTTCTCTGGGCACCTTTCTCCTCACCCTGCAATAAAGGCAGGTGCTCTCTGAGAGGTGCCAGGGCCCCAGTGCCCTGCTCTGCTCTGCCAGGAGTATCCCACCAGCACATTCCCTGCCCTAGGAAAGGACCAGGAGACACCCAACCACCTGAACTCATCCCAGCTTTATTTTCTCTGCAGCTCAGACACACAGGGATGGAACCAAGGTCTCCACAACAGCAACTCTTGGATAGAAAAGATCCTTGTGAATCTCCTGTGGCAAAACCATCTCTGGGCAGGATCCACAGAGCAGGCAGGGACTGACACAGCCTCCCTGGGACACAGGAATCAGCCCCTCCACAGCAATCCTTGCCTGCATCCTGCACTGGGAATTCCCCAGACATTTCTCACATTTTCCACACCAGCTCCAGCACGGGAGCAGTGTCTGTAGTGCAACATCTCCAGGTTTGGAGGGACCAAGCTAAGTCTGCAGTAAGATTATTTTTTTTCTAGGAATTGTACTCCTGAGGAACAAAGGGAAAAGGGGAGAAAGGGTTTGATCTCAGTGTTCAACAGCTCATTTCACTGAATGCTCATTGTGCTCTAGTCAGACACACTGCACTTCCTAGAAGGAAAAAGGAGATTCTGGGGTGATATTTAAACTCTGAGAAGTCCAAGGCAGTGCCTAAACCTCCCAACTACACAGTCACCAACTGGTTAATGCCAAAATGTTCTATGTATTAAAAAAAAATAAAAATTACTATCATCTTTAATTTCTGTGACTCACAGCCCAGTGTCCTGAACCCTCTGGATGCAGACATTCCTGTCTGCACCAACACTTCCCATCACTCCTGTTTAATCTCACTGATTTGACAGAGAAGAAGGATCCTGACATTGCTTTCCAGATGCATTTCCAGGCATTGGCTCTAAAAAAAGGGTTATTTCTCTGAAATCCATCTGAAGCACGACAAGAGGAGGATGAAGCCAAGGCCAGCTCGCTGCCCAGTGCCGAAGGTTTTCCGACCCCTTGGAAATCTTGTGAAATCTTGTGGTTAAGGGGATCTTCCAGAGGCCAGGGTGTGGATGGAGATCTGTGCTCTGCTGAGCTCACCTGGGCACAGGAATCCCATGGGATGGACCAGGCAGGGCAGCAGGAGAGGTGGGATCTGGCCAGGGAGGGGAATGAGGATCCCCAGTGCCACAGGGAGGGAAGGAGGGAGAGAAAACCCTGGGCAGAAGCCAGCAGCCTGTGCAGGAGCTGTGAGGTGAAGGGGAGGAGTTGACTGCCTTTTAACCCTGTCCCCAAAAGGGCAATGCCATGGCCCTGCTCTGTACCAGAATCCCAGCAGGGCCAGGACAGCCCAGGAGCAGCCCAGTCCCTCCTCTCTCCAGCCTGGGCCAGGGCAGGACTCAAGGGATCAAAGATGGGAAGCTGCAGAAACACTTTATGGGTGTCTCAGAAATGGCAGGAAGGATCCACACCTTCCCAAGTCACCCCCTGCAAAAGCTGCCTGCTCCAGGCAAACACCAACTGACAGAAATAAGGCCAGAAAGAGACAAAGCGACCGAAATAAAGAGTTTGGCAACAAAGCAAATGTGGCCATCACACAGAGAGCCAGCCCTGGGTCCAAACAACTCCCTAAGAAAGGGTCTGCAAGCAAAGGGAAACTTCCATCCCACAGGGATTCTGCCAGTGGAGGTTTCCAGAGGATTGGACACATTCCCCTGGTTCCAGAGAGGAACCTGCCCCACCTGTGCTGGGGAGCCAGAGTGTGTGTGCCAGCTCCTCTCCTCTGGAAACCAAGGAAAATGAAACCTTTCCTGCTCCTGAGAAATTGAGACATGACTCTGCCTGTCCCTGGGTCTGGCAGGAGCCTGGCAGAGGCACAGCTGGCTGAGCCCACTCCTGCTGCTCCAGCCCTTAACCTCCAGCATTCCAAAGCCTTCCTGAGAGCCACAGGGTCCATCTGCTCCTGCTGAAGCTGCTGCTTCCCTGTGATTCCTTCTACAAGACACACCTAAGACCCTGCAGGGGCTGGGACACCTGAAATCCCCCTGTCCTGAGAGAGCAGTGCCCATCCAGGCACTTCCAACGCTGCCATCTCCTCGTGGGCTCTGCCTTTGTGCAGCTTCCCAGACTCGCTTCCAGCCAGCCCAGCCCAGC